GGGGCGAGTGGCCTCAGCAGCCTCCCCCCGCAGCTCCATCTCGATGGTCATGACGACTTTGGGGGGCCGGGTGCCCCCAGCGTCCGCCCCCGGGGTACCTTCCCTGCCCGCTAACCGCTATTTCTTATCCTTACGGGAGTCTCCTGGGGCTCCCTTGGCTTTCTTCTCACTTGCTGCCTTAGTGCTGCGGCTGTGGTCCAGCATGGCGTAGAGCACGGGTGCCTGCAGGGATGGGGCAGTGTTGGTGCCATGGTATCCCCCCACCCTGGGGGCTTCACCCCACAGCCTCTCCTCCCACCCCAAAAGGTAGGAGAGGGGTTTGCCCCCCCGGCCAGGCCATTTTGCCCCCTCCAAGCCCTCATTGCTCACCTGCCGGCTGCGCTTGGACGCATCCTTGGCTGATCGCTGCAGCTTTCCCTTCTCCATGGCACTAAAATTGGGGTGGAAAGGCAAAAAGGCATTTCAGAAAGGCCACCCCCCCAGTCTGACCTGGCAGCTCTATTTTGGGGTGGTTTTGCCCTGGTCGGGCAGTAGGGCTCACCTCAGCCGTCGCTGCAGGGCTGCCTGCCGCCGCAGCCAGCAGTAGCGGATGAGATAGACGAGGACCACCACCACGGCCACCAGCAGCAGAGCCCCACCGATGATGGAGCCCAGCACAACACCATAGCGGGTGGGCACTGTAGGGACACCAGCATCCCATCAGCCCCCCTGGCCAGAGCGGGGAAACTGAGGCAGGGAGGGGACCGCTGGTGCCGTACCTTTCTCAAAGACGTAGAGCGTGACCTGGGAGGACTTGCCCACAATGTCAGGGGGGTTCTTGACGTCGCAGGTGAAGGTGCCGTTGTCGGTGTAGTCCAGGTTGTGGATGACGATGGAGCCATCCTTACGGTGGGGATTGCCAACCCACTCCATCCGCTCCTTGAAGGTGCCCACGTCATCGATGTAAGGCTGACCCTTGGCATAGTGGAATATCTAGCGATGGGGACAGACACACGGACATCAGGGTCACGGTGCCTCCGGGCACGGCAGGGCCACCCCGCACCCCAAAGCGGAGCGGGTGCTTACGGATGTGCTGTCACGGGTTCCCTCAGCTTGGAAGTGCCATGTGATGGAGATGTCCTCGGAGATCCACTCGCTGGACCAGAAGCTGCAGGAGAGGGTGACGTGGGAGCCAACGGTGCCGTACACCTCCCGCTGCGTGTACACGTGGATGGAGGATGTCGGGGACGGCCCTGCCAGGGGCACAAACCCATCAGCCCCGCAGGGGACCCCAGCATGGGGATGGTGCCCATCACTGGGGCCACTGGCTGGTCTGTGCCCCCATGCTGGTCCTATGCCTGGCCCCATGCCCAGCCCCATGCTGCCACCAAAGGGCTTTTGTTGGCCCTGGAGAAAGCACAAGAACTGGAACTTGTGCCACCACAGGTGCCTTTGTGGGGAGCCTCTGCCCTGGTGTCCTCACGGTCAGTTCAAAGGGGACCGTGTCCCGGTGCTGGCTGACGCCAGAGGATGCTGACAGGGCTGGGTCCGGCACCCAGCACCCCTATCCCGTCCCCAGGGAGCTGGCTGGTGCTGGGATTCTCCTTGCAGCCTGGGGATGGGGACCGGAGCATGGCCACAGAGGATTGCCACCACCAGTGACACTCCCAAAAGCAGATGTGTGGGTGGGCACCAGACCCACAGCCACCTCCTGAGGGTCTGGAGCCCCCTGGTACCTCCCAGCATCCAGGATCAGGATTTCAAGACCAGCAACCCTGGTCCCTCGTCCCTGTCCCCAGCTTACCCAGCACCGAGAGGAGCCCAGCGAGGAGGAGGAGGCTGCCGCTGCCCCTGGCACCCTGCGACATGGTGGCTGCCTGTCACCGGCCGGCTCCAAGCCGCATGGAGGGCTGGTGTTGTGCAGGGCCCGGCGGCGTGCCGAAGGGTGCCAGTGGGATGGGGGCTGAGGTTTAAGAGCAAGCAGCGCCGAATGATGCCAGCGGCGCCCCGGCCTCGGGCCAATGGGCGCTGGGCAGCCGGGGCGGTGGGGCCCAGGGGATGCCGGGCGCCCTGGACTGAAAGGGGTCATTTAGTTTGGTGATGAGCGAGGAGGGGGAAGCATGCGGTGGGGGGGCCGGGCACACAGTGCCCTTTGTCTGGCCACATTCCCGACTGCGGCGGAGGTGGCTCGGCAGGAATGTGGCTGGAGCCGGAGGGCACCAGCACACAGCCACGGTCCTCGGTTGGTCCTGGGGATAGACCTGCCTGGCGGGGATTGGGGTCTTGCGCCGACTGCGCCACGGGCCACCGGCTCATCCCCTCCTGTTCCGCGGCCACAGGCCGGCTGCCCGCACACCCTGGTGTGGGCGCC